TTCAGCTAATCTATAAAATATCTCAAAGTCTAATGGTTCGTGTAGATGGTACACCAGACCTGATGTGAATTTTTAGTGCACTAATTTTTTATTTATAATTCCTAATTTATCGCATCAAAACCACACCTTACAGGCAGTGAACCCGATCGAGTATAATATAACTTTGATAAGCAATTGTGTCGAACACAAGGGGAACGGTAGTAAATTAATTTAAAATATTTGATTATAGGTTACAGAATACACATAAAAGTTGTAAAGAAATGGTTTATTAAATCTCAAATGAACAACTAATTAACAAATCTCGATAAACTAACAGGGAAACAAATCTCTTCAGGTACTTTGGTTTAAATAAATTACACCTTAAAAGCATAGACAATTGCATACCCAAATTCATTTATTCACGTTCACCGACTCCTAAAATAATTAGATTCATATTCACTATTACTAATCCTTTAGCAAACAAGTTAATTCAAATAGTGATTAGTTGATTAAACTAACATGCTTCCTAGTGTTCAGTTCGTATCAAGCAAGACCTGTAATAATAGTTAATCAAATTACTAATTCGATTAACATCTTGTTGATGGTTTATCACATAAGGCTCATACATTAACTTACTTATTTCTGAGTTAATCCTAGTTTCACATTCGTTATTCCTAGACATATAATCTTGATGGTCATCAAAATCATAAGAGACAAACAATCAAGTAGATGTTCATACAACTCAATTTACTTGGCAATTAACAACAAATAATTATCATTAACACGTAAGGATATTTTAACAAGCTTGAAAAGATAAATTAAACATAAACAAACAATCCAATATAGCAATTAATCCAATAATCAAGGTTTTATTTAATCATAAACTCAAAGTAAATGGTTTTTACACCTAAATTAGAAAGTAAACACATAATGGAATCACAATGGAATGCTAAACATGGTCATGATAACAAACCACATGATTACGGACATGAATCCGCTCTCCAATCCCTTAGATATTTGCTCCATATCAGCTTAACGGCCCTTTGGCCGCCTTCTAGACCCTCAAAACGGCAGCTATGAAGTTTTTTTGTCGCACAAGTTGAAGCGGAATATCATAGATTATGAAAATGGTGGAATGATATGGGGTATTTATAGTTGAAGGGAGATGGAATTAATATGAAATATTAAAGTTGGATTGGAATAAGGAAACTAATGGTGGCTTAGGGATTAAGCAAATAAAAATAAGATAAATGGTGCTTGGGGAATAAGTACCTTGGATGGAATTTCCGTCCAGCTTTTATGATTCATCTTCAAGGCCGATTTTGGATAAGATAAATGCGGAATTAGCAAAAATTCCCTATCACATAAGTTGTAGGAAATTTCGTCTAGTTTTTAGAACATTTTGAGTCTCTCCAATTGGACTTATGAGTCATTAGATATACCCGAAACACTGAAGAGGGGTCAATCTGCCAGCAATATCATTTTTGCATCTTTTCAGCTCCATTCTCTTCCTTTTGCATTACAGCTCCAATTTTTACTGTAATTGAATATTTCAAAGCATATTAAGTATCTTTTAGTTCTAAATAACATAAAAACATAGTATAAAATAATAAGAAAACATCATAAATATATGCATAAAATAGACGTTATCAAGACCCCATACAAGTTCAATCGCCAAATCTTAAGGGCGAAAACCACAACACCCAACTTTACATCATAACTAGGATAATTCACCTCATGAGGCTTCAACTTCCTTGAAGCGTATGTAATCATATGGCCTCTCTACATAAGTAATGCTCCAAAGCCCATAATCGAGGCATCTCAATAGGTATACGAAGTTATCCACACCCTCGGGTAGGGTCAATATCGGTGCCTCACAAAAATTTTATATCAGAATCTCAAATGTAGCTTGTTGCTCATGCCGCCACCTGAAAGTGATGTTCTTCTTTGTTAAATTCGTCAAAGGGACTGTGATCTTGGAGAAGTTCTAGATGAATCTTCGGTAGTATACTGCTAATCCAAGGAAATTGCGATATGTTTTGTCAACTTCTTTGTAATCGGTCGTTTTCTTAAGTTTATCCATATTTATTTTCTTATGTTAATCTATAGTTATTTGAACAAGTACATTAGCAGAATCAACCGATTACGGATGACTTTGGAAGTCTTAATATACTTTCCATCTTGTTTATCAAGACCCTTCTTAGCTTTATGGGGAGCATGTGAAGATCCTTATATCCGAGATTCTCTTACATTTTTATTCATGATATTCATTGCATTGCCGATCAAAAATATTGGAGAATGTTATGAGCATCTATATCTGATATTTACATGATGTCTATGTTTGGATTTTCGAGACATCTAAAGATAGTGATTTTATTTAGTGATTGATGTGGCACAGATTTTTGGTCATCACTGATAAAAATTTTGGCCTCACTAAATTTCTCCCGAATCCAAATTATTTATTATTCATACCAACAATGAGCTTGGATTTTTGAGACTTCTGGATATGATGATTTCATTTAGTGATGCGTTGTGGTAGTGATTTTTGATAATCACTTATCAAATTTCTGGATTCAATAGATTTGAGCCAGATACCAGATTATTTATCATTCGAACTCGATATTGGAAATATACTTTCCGTCATGTTTATCGAGAACCTTCTTAGATTTAGAGGGAGAATGCAAAGCTCCTTATATCTGAGTTTCTCTTACTTCTTTATTCCTAATCTTCATTGCATTCTCAGTGAAAAATAAAAGAGAATGTTATGAGCATCCGCATCTGATTTTTACATGTTTTCTATGTTTGGTTTTTTGAGACTTCTAAAGATGGCGATGTTATTTAGTGATGGATGTGGCATTGACTTTTAGTCATCACTGATCAAATTTTTAGCCTCACTAAATTTTCCATGAATCCTGATTATTAATTATTAAGACCAATAGTGAGTTTGGATTTTCAAGACTTCTGAATATGATGATCTCATTTAGTGATATGATCTGTTATTGATTTATAATAATCATTGATCAATTTTATGGCTTTACTAGATTTGTCTCGGATATTAGATTATTTATCATTCCGACTCGACATAGGATGTTTCATACTTTAAGCAGGTTATATTGATGATTTTATGGGTGCTTTATGATTTGTTCAGACTTCTTGAAGCCAACGATAGTTAAATCTTCAACATTGAACCTGCTTTTCAGATTTAATGTATTTTAGCCTCTACTCACTGGATTTTTATCTCTCACAATTTCCAAGCCTTTAAGGGGAGACTGTTGGAGCACAAAAATACTCTACAATGTTAAGTGATAGTTAGGTTATTATATACCCTTTTATTTTCTAGATGGTACTTCTCTCCATATAAATAGAGGGTGAGTAGTTATTTATTTGAGTTCAATAAAATGTAGTCTTTGTCTATTTAGATTGAGTAGGGAGGGAAATCTCTCCTGCCACTAGAGTTCTTGCACTTCTTGTATTTTCATGCTGATCTCTTTCTATTGATAAGCAGATTACTCATCTTCCTTTGCTCATCATTTTCATAACATTTTAACTTCATGTGCTTACTATTTTACACATTAGTCGGTCAAAATGGGTCCAACAGTCTACTTATCCCAGACAATATTTAAGACGAACGATAGGACTGGCTCCGATGCAAGGGCGTGACGTGTCGCTTGTTTAGGTGTGACACATTGATCAAATTTCCTACCTATTAATATGAGGGTTAAGTTATTCATTCTTCCCTGCTTGTCAATCTTTCTCTTTTAATCTCTCTCTCAAACTCTCTTCATGTTAATTGGTTATTTTGGCAGGTACGTTACCCCTTCTTATGCTTAACTACAAGTTGATATATAGAATATACATTGTCGTTGTTATGAACATCATAAGTATAACATTATTCTTTAATTCTGGTTATAATTGAGCTAGTTACGAGAGTGGTGCCTAGGATAAAAACATTGGTCTCGTTGTTGGATTTAGAAAAACTATATGCTAAAATGATCATGCCTCCTAACTGTCTTGACTAGCCAATCTTTATTTCATAGCTAATTTGTATTAATAATATTATTGTAGAATATGGGTATGATAGTAAGTGACTAGTATAGTATTATATGTTGATATGCGGTTGTTATGTCTTCCCGTTACTCGATCTACTTAGTTGAATAAAGACTAATAAGGGCATGAGTTACACTAAGAGATTTTATAAAGTAGTTGTACATGTATATGTAATGACCATGACAGACCCATTTGGGGAAGTGATTGTATTTGTATATGTAATGACCATGACAGACCCATTCGGGGAAGTGCGAAAGTTTTATCAGAAGTCTATGACTCATCTAGAAAGATTGGATAAAAGAGTTCATGGCCCTTCTAGGAAGATTAAATAAAGAAGCCTAAGACCCTACTCGAAAGAAGGTGTGTTGACTTAAAATCAAGTGCTAACTTAATCAAATAAATTGATAGAAATAAGGTGTGCTGAACAATGTGGATGTGGTGTTAGAAACAAGGTGTCCATATCATGGACAAACAAGAACCCTTGAAGACCATTTCAGAAATACATTATTTATAAGGTATGTTGAATAATATGCAACTCTATTGGGTTAATATTGCAGTAGTTAACACGATGCTAAAGAATATTGCAAGTATTTTGGATCGTTGAACTTGAGAGTAACCAAATTATTGGTACAAATATATTTTGTTAAATGTGTACATGAAATTGAAGAAGGGAAAGAAAAGACTATGTAATGTGACATCCAACAATTAGATCAGACTTGAAAATAGTATTATTATTTCTAAACAAATTCTTTAAAAATCAAAAAATTTCTAATAAATTTTAAATATTTTAAACTTCGAAAATGTTTCAAGACTACGAGGGATGTCTAACTAGACATCATGACATACTTAAAACAAAATTATTAATATTTCAAAAATTAGAATATTTTAAAAGTTTATCAAAGATAAATTTGATATTTTGAAATTAGATTGTATAAATATACTATTTTTATTTATAAGAAAAATATATACAAACTCTCCTTTATGCAGTAAGTTTTCACAGGTACCCACTAATATAATATGAAATCACCCGATAACAATTTATAGGTAGCCTCTATAATCCTTGAGATAGTACGATCTAAAACTCCAACACAGTGCCCATCTAAATTAGTAGGAATATAGCTGCTTTAGCTCCTTTCTCGTACATCTTCTTCTGACACATTACAATTCAATTCTCCATCATCAACTGGACTTTCGAAATCATCAACTTTATCCCCACAATAACCTTCTTGTAATGGTATCTCCTTGTCCGTGTTGGTGATCTATAATAAACAAACAAATTATAAATTTATAATCATAAATATATCCCCAAAAAAAAGATAACAAAATTAAGGTAAATGTCAGAACCAAGAAACACTACCTGAGGTGGTCGGTTATAGTCTACAAAAAAAATCAGTGTTATGATACTAATAATCGTGTCAATTTCTTTGAGGGCTTTTTTAAATTTTCTGTTAATTTTCCACCCCAAAGCAAATTTAAAGGCATAATTGTGTTCTTGGTTTTTAGCTACAAGGAGATATGTCCTGCGGAGGGCCTCCTCTAAGTCCACCAAAGGTTTTCTTATTGCCGAAACGTTGAGATCACGTACTCTTAGCTCAACAAGCAGATTTCCAACAAATTTCACACGTCTGAAAAGATCTTCGCATGCGTCTGAATGCTCCGCAGCTCTGGTATGTGCATCTAGAATCAGTTTTGTTAGAGTAATTGCGTCCATTCCGGCTAAATGTGCCATATCCGTAGTCTTAGCAATTCGTTGCAGCACCTTGGAAGATTCTCTGTGAAAACAGGAATTCATTACATTATCTATGAAAGGGGGTTATCCGTAAAATCAAAATCCTATCTATAAACAGAAATCTCTAAATTACGTTAAACAAAATCAGCTTAATAGTTAATACGTTATCATGGAGCGCATTTCTTATCAAATTCCTAACAAGGGTATCAAATTTCACAGATGATTGTATGCTTCGACTCCAAAATCACTTATATTTTCTCAACATTGCACTTCTGGTATCAAGATTCAACCCAAGAGCGTAGATATCCTTCAAGAAACTTATCCAACTGAAAACGTTCTTAGTTTAAACATACAGAACATTAATGTAAGCCAAGAACCACAACTAACAAACAAACTAAATATAAAATCTCTTCAATGGCTTTGAACCAGAAAACATTTGATGACTTTTACCTATCACAAAATTTTGACAAAACGATGAACTAGCAAAGGTTGCTTCAAGTCTTAATATATGGCAAATGAACAGTAAAACGTAACCCTAACCTAAGCTCTAAATGGGTGAAAAATTTGACGACTACACTGTGCATCCTTTTTTTATATAGAGATAATTTTGGCGTATTGTACAAGCCAAATACGCGTTTCAAGTATCCTAGTCGCCCTCCAACTTCCCGGAAAGCATGCGCTTTTGGTCTTTCTATCTTTAACAGCGCTCAATCAGGTTCTCAATAGTTTCCAAATGCACCTTCAAAAATCAAAACAATACAAAGTGCCTACGTGATCTAATATGTTTCTAAAATAGAGTTGTATGCAAGTTTTAATGCCATGAAAACAATACAAAGTGTCTAAGTCACCCAATTTGTTTCCAAAGTGGCAAGACTTTTTTTTAAGCACAAATATGAAATTTGTCTAAAATAACAATAGCCGCCATATTTATTAATTTTTTTTTTTGTATTTTTATGTTGAAAAAGATGCCTACTCTTATGGATAGTTTATGAAAAAACAATACAGGGGTGGAACACGGCCGAAATCAAAACTTCAAAATAAAGCCAAATGAAAAGTTTAATCTTGTTCAAAAAATCAAAAGTCTAAAACAAGCTACAGTGTTCTCTCATGATTTTTGATAGAGTTTGCATGTTTTCTTATAATAAAAAGTCAACTGGTGATTGTCTTTTATAAAATTAACTAAAAGTTAGCAAATTTTTATAAAATGATAAAATAACATAACTAACAACTTATATTTTAGCAAAAAAAAAATTTTTTTTTTTAACAAATTACAAGTTAATATAACAAAATAAATTTAAAAACTAACAATTAATAAATATGTTTTCATACTAAAATTTTAACCATGCGAATAATATCTCTATTTTTTGGCTTTGCTTTATAATTTTACACTTTACTAATATTTTATGATTTTTGTTACTTAGCTATCATAATATCATGCTCATAAATTACAACTATTTCTATTATTCATATCTTCATGTTTTTCGTTTACGAAAACATAATGATAAAAAATTAAAAAAAAAAAAACTTTTTTAATTTAATAAACTTTTTGTAGCTTTCACACTCATCTCGAGCCTATCTCATATGTCTAATATACATTTATTAACCCACGAATACCGAGAGAAAGAGAAAAAAATGTGTGTGTTTGAGAGAGAGAGAGAGAGAGAGAGAGAGAGAGAGAGAGAGAGAGAGAGAGAGAGAGAGAGAGAGAGAGAGAGAGAGAGCAAAATGGGAAGTACGTACAACTTCCTCTCAAATTTGGCGGAGAGAAATCTCAAGCGGTTGCAGGTAGCTAGCCGACGGCAAAGGTAAGAGACGTATATTCTTGCGAAGACCGGTGGACGAAATGAACAATGGTGGTTGATTCAGGTTCTTTGATATCTCTTCTTGCGAAGGCAACATTATCCTTCTGTTCAGTTGAGAGATCTGTTCAATTGAGATATCTCTTTTTCTGGCAGCCAAATTTTTGGTTTACTGTTTTCTTAAACTCAAAGGTTGAGTTTAAAAAAACAGTAAATTAGTATTAAATTTTTGGTTTTTATTGAGTTTAAAATAGTTTCTGTAGTTTATTAGGTTTCTAAAGAATCAATGTTAGTTTTGATTTTCAGTGATTTTCAAAAAATTTGGTTGATTATCTATTTAGAAAATTTTATATACAATAAGTTGTATATTTGTATTACATGAATATAGTAAGGTTTAAAGCAGAGAGACCAATTAGTTATTATAGTGATTGTTCCATATATGAAATACATATATACAAATATTATGAACCTCAAAACTAGGGAGGCCATGGCTACATTCGGCTACCTTTAGCGGTCATGCGGTCGTCAATGGCTCCATTCGGCTGGACAGGCTTGGTGTCGTCGCTAAAACGTTTGTCGCCACTAAAGGTTTCGTTGCTAATTTCTCCGACAGGCGATTCGTGTGACGTTGACAAGAATCAATTGTAGCCCTACGTTTGTATGTTGATCCAAAGACTAGGGTTTATCTTCGTACATATGCAATAGCGACAAGCAATAGGGGCGACACCGTCGCCGCTAATACTCCCGAAATAACATCATGAAAAGTTCCCTCCAAGTCTTTGCTACTACTACCTAATTGTCCCCCTACAAGCATCGCCGCTTTAGTCCGTCCCCCATCCTAGAGTGTACCCCCATCTATTTAGCCCTTTCGATTTCTGACTCTGTGACGGTTCTCTGATTTCACCAACAGTTTGTGTCGATTGTCATGTCCATCAGCGCGTGGAGCCACCGCTTGTAACATCCCTTAAAAAAACATAGTTTTTCATTTTTAATTCATCAACTCACATAGTATTTGTCCCCAAAACTCATCACGGTAAAAATGTATCATAATCATTAGTGTATAATAACAATCATCAATGCGGAAAGTCACCAGGGGGAAATATTGTGCAGTCAGGCCGACCCTTCCATTTGGAACTGGAAGTACCTAAAAAACTGTAAGCACAAAGCTTAGTGAGTTCCGCAAAATATCATATACCATACATACATTTCCATGGGCTACCCCCGTAGTCTTCCATACAAGTTCCATGGGCAACCCTCATGGTCTTTCATACCATTGCCATGGGCTACCCCCATGGTCTTATATGTGAGAATAATAATTAAGATCGAAAGATTCTATATTAATAACGTGATTTAAATACAAGAACAATGAAGATCAAAATTGTGCCTAATGCTTTGATTAATCGACTCTAGAAGAGTTCTCAATAACTTCTTTATAAGAGTGTACAAACGACAATTATGGTTGGAAAACATTAACCCTGCTGTTACACGCATGCACTATATACATGTTAAACTAGAAAGTTAAACTATAAATGGACATGCCCATTTCGGAACAAATATAACTATACAAGCACATATTTGACATCGAAAGATTCTATATTAGTAATGTGAATTAAATACAAGAACAATGAAGATCAAAAGTGTGCATAATGCTTTGATTAATCGAATCTAGAAGAGTTCTCAAGAACTTCTCTATAAGAGCGTACAAACGAAAATTAGGGTTGGAAAACATTAACCCTAATGTTACATGCTTGCACTATATATAGGTTAAACTAGAAAGCTAAATCGAAAGTGGACAAGCCCATTTCGGAACAAATATAACTATACAAGCAAATATTTGACACAACACTTAATAATCCCAACAATCTCCTCCTTTGGGTCAAATTCCGAAGGAGAGTCTTCATTGTTGTCTTCACTGCACATTGAACAATTTGGGCATTAAATTCAGAAGTGTGTTTCTATCACATCCCCAAAATCACGGCCAGAAAAGACCGGTTTCATTTATGTTTTTAAAATAATTTCAGAGTAAATCCTTTTGATTTAAAAGAGTTGCGGAATTTGTTCCCAAAACAAAATATAATAAAATAATATTTATCAAAGCATTTCATAAAGAAATGTATTTTCATTATATAATCAAAACTCGGGATGTCATGTTTCGATACAGACCAAAAAGCCTAAATGACATATTACAAGCCATACAACAGTTATATACATATATAGGCTTATAAAAAAATTACTTGATGATTCATCCATCTTATGCCATCACGCCACTACCTATAATACAAATAAACTGAGTGAGTCAGGCTTGAGAGCCTGGTGAGAATATAGGGTTTTCAACCCACAATAAATAATTATATTTAATTCAACAATCAACAATAACCTGATTCCCCATTCCCGTTATTCTCACTTTACGTCCCTAAAACAACAACTATCACGAGAGACCTAATCTAGGATTTTCATCGGGACGGACATTACTGCAACAGGGTTTCCTTAACAGTAGATGTCCTAAAGACAACCATGAGGGGGATAGAGTACACCGGTGAACACATCGTTCACAACACCTACAGATTATGAACCTGCTAGCGTTCCACAGGACTGTCTAGAAAGAGTCTGTGGTCGTCATCCATGCTCCGCTAGATGACTAGATTATCAACAACAACATCGAGGCCTCTCATCTGTTTATCACACATCAACTATCTACCCATGTTCTACCCAACATATTAGTAGGTAAAATATATATTTTATACATAGTTTAAAACCTATATAGCATCCTCATTCAATACATATTCCAAACAATAGATGATACACATACACATAACATGTATTTCATAGAGAACAAATCATATCTGTGAGATAGAAGAAAGTGAATATACATTCACACATATAACAACAAAATATACACATAACACATATTTTATATAAAATACTTCATAGTTATGCGTTAGAAGAAAGTAACTACACACTCACTTGATCAGAAGATGATCGGACAACACTACGGCTTGTAGAAGTAGTATTCTTCGGTAGATCTGGAAGATCTTTACAAAAATTGGCTTCTCGCGGGCAGAGCTTCGGCTCGGGAATTTCAATTCTCTGGATCTTCGTGGCTTCGGGACTTGCTTTGGGTCTCGGGGTTGATACCGAGGCTTCGGGATATTTTTTGCATGAAAAACGAGGTAAAACGGGAAAGAGAGAAAGAGAAGAGAAAATGAGCAAAAAGGCCGGCTGCCCTCGCACCCTTTATATAGGAGTTGGAACCTCGCATTATGCTGGGCGTAATGCTCTGCTACACTGGGCGTGACCCGGATAAGTCCGGTGACTCCCCCCTTTGGATAATATCCGAATTTGTATTACATTTAATATTTTAATTATTTAATAAATTTTAAA